TAATTTCTGCTTAGTTTACATGTCTTAACTAATTCTATCTTTGCAATTGCCAAATCAGTTACTGATTTTCATATTGTATTTTAGCACAAAATGTGATGCGAAAATTGGTGGACTACTTTGTCAAGTAAAACCAAGAGTAATTGGAAATGGATGTGATTAAAGTAATCTCTTCTGTAAGATTCAAAACAATTTCAATAATAGCCAGTCCAAGATGACTGATTACATATATTGAAAATGACCTGAAAATAGCAATTCACATAATTACCTGAAAATATAGATCCACCTAATCTCTGGCATTTGTTCTTTCTTCATCAGTGACATATGAAACAGTTTGGTATATCAGCATCATACCAAATATCTATACAGGGGGGGGGGTGTTGACATGTATTTCTTATCATTATTGCTTTAAACAGTTTCCAAAGCAATAAAAAAACTAGATTTGCCTTTTAGCAAAATGGAGATTTCTCCCCTTTTCTTAGATGACTGTTTATTTCTTCATTATCATTCACTGACATAGTATGGTTTATATCCATGTAATACATTCACTGGCATAATATGGTTAATACTGAGGAATTTATTTAATATTTATCTAAAAACTAAAACTGATTAAACATCTAATATTACAGTGGTTTAATGTATTTTGAATCAAGTCTTAAATATAAATTTAATCCTGTTGATTAATGAGAGAAAAGAAAAGAAAAATCAAAACAGTAAATTGAAAAATAATTTATTGTGGTAAATTTCAAAACATAAACCAAAAACTGAATAAAAATAGAAAAAGCATAAAATTGAGCAATAGTGAAAAAGAGATTAAAAATATCAAATGCAAAATTTCAGTATTTTGCAAGTAGACATACAAAATACCAAGTCAAGAAAAGAAAGATTTTAGTAAAAATAGTTGTGATGGTCAGAATAGGCAACATTGGTATACTGATTGGAAATCCAAATTTTGTTATTAATATATAATTGCTAAACAGAACTGATATTTATTAAATGGAAAATAAATGAGTTTTATTAGTAACTAGACAAGATTCCATCATACCAACTTTCTAGAGAGTTTTTCAGTCTAAGATCAAGTTTACAGTAAAACAATGTTAACAAGAGTGGTGGCAGTATTTGAAGTTTGAATTGCTGATATAACTGACAATTATAATGAATTTAAGAAATTAGATTTTTTTCCCTTTTGATGAAACTAAACCAAATGTAATGTCAAATTTGCAGATATTATTTTCAATTATACCATCCATTGTTTAATTTTAAGTATGGCTGGTAATAATTTTCTATTAAAAAATGTTTGCCACATTCTTCACCTTTTTAAAAATATAATTACTTGAATAATTTTTAACATTAAAAATTTTACCTATACTGTGACAATCACTGAAAGCAACTGAATTGAGCACCTTATTACTGATTTCCAAAATGTATTGAGACCATTTAGTAAATTAATGCTTTAATACATTCATTAAAGCAAAATGCAAACAGACAAAAGAGTAAAAAAAAAAAAAGAAAAAGCACAAAAGATAACATATTTTCATTATCTAGAGTTTTAGGATGATCTTGAACAAAGCAGTTTCAATTTTTTTAAAAATAATTTTTATATGTAAAAATAAATTTAATGATAAAAATTTTGAGTTAATCTTTATCAGAACTCATGAGTTGCTAAAAAGAGTTTTAGCATAATCATTTAGGTTTATTGTTATTGTTAATGTTGTAACGAAAGATCAAACAAAAAGAAAAAAAATGAAACATTAAGTGTAATAACTACAACAAAATAATGACAATCAGATACCTTTTTTAAGTAATACATATTGTTTAAGTAATATATATATATATATATATGTGTGTGTGTGTGCATGTATTGATATAATAGGAAAGAACTGTTAGATTGATGATCCGAAGTTCTTTAGTATTTTTGTTTTTAAAAACAGTGCTCGATACATAAGTAGAAGCTAGATTATAATTATTTTTTTAAAAATATGATTCCATTGCGACACAGAAATTACTATGTTTTGAAACTGGTCAGCAGTATTTAAGTTTAATTTCAATATCTTGATTCCAGAACAAAGCTTGAGGATGAAACTGCCACCCAGTGGTTAAGGTTTAATATTGGAATTAAACTTAAATACTGCTGACCAGTTTTGAAACACATTAATTTCTGTGTCACAATGGAATCATATTTTAGAAGAAAAAAAAAAAATTATATATATATATATATAATTTATTTTGTGAATATCTATATATTCATCTCTTCAGACCAAAATCTCTTATTAAATGGAGACAATTCTTCCTGGACTGATATATTAGATTGATGGGGGAAGGGAAAGCAAGAGAGAAGAAGAAAAGTGATGGATGGTCAAGTTCTTTTAAAAAGTGAGATCGAGAGTACGTAAGGAAAGGAAAGGGAAAAAGGAAGAGATGAATGGGTAGTAGTAAGCCTAAAATAGACTGACCCAGTCAAGAATTTTTTTTTATTAAAGTGTGGTTGACCGATATGGTCTGTTATTTTAGGCAGGACAAATCAACAGAATTCCAAATTAGTTAGTCTGATAAAAGGGCCCTTAATACAAATAATAGATAAATAAAAATTACAATAATGATAATAATATCAAACTATGATAATATGAAGGGATTTTAAATACAGATAAATAATAAAAGTAAAAATAAAAAACTGAGTAAGATGATGTATGGATAATAATACAAAAGATGTTAATATAGAATTATAAATGTTGTAGACATCAGCAAGACAATCATAGATCAAACTACATATAAGGAAACATGCAAAATCACAAAACTGTGTGATATGCAATAAAAATACGGTTTTGTGTTTTTTTGTGTGTTTCTTATTATTTATCTGCATTGTCCCAACACAAATTGGTTTATATATATATATATATATATATATATATATATATATATATATATATATATATATATATATATATATATATTTGATAATATTAGTGGTAAATATACACATAAATATGCAATCATATATCTAAAATATATAAATATATATACATATATATTTGTATAAAAATAAATCCAAGAGTATAGAATCCAGGTAGAACTCAATGTCCGGGACACAGTAAGGATATAATAAAAAGGCTTAAACATTAATATGTAACCACAAAATGTATTTTTTCCGGTATATCTTTAATGTATTAGACATCCGAGAATATTCATATTTCTCTCACTTAAACTGTCTTTGACTCCCCTTTTTAAAATTTGTCTCTGTTAAATTTTTTTTCCCCTTCATCTTTAGACCTTCCTGTTCTTCTCTCATCTGTTACCCCTTCCTATAGCTTTCATTTACTCTAACAATCGTCCCACACTCTCATACATACACTCTCACTAAATTTTATTTTTTATTCCTGGAGTTGTTTTTTCTGTTTTCTTTTTGAATTTGTAGGTCTGATGAATTGGATCGTATTTATGATTCCAATGGAATAAATTATGACCATGAAATAGTGTTTTAAGCTTTTTTTTTTATATATATATATATATATATATATATATATATATATATATATATATTATATAAAAACATTTTAAAAAATAATCTTACTTTCAGAGTAATTTTTATCTAGATAACTTCATGTAAGTTTATTCTAAAAATTTGAAAAAGTTTTACTTTCTGACAGCTAAATAATTTTGTAAATGTTAGCAAACATTAAGAGGCTAAATGTTTTCTATGTACCTATCAATATAACTTAATAAATCTTAATGATTGATAACAGGGTCAAGTGAGAAATTAACATAATAAAAATATTAATCATAATTGTTAATGGTGTTACTTTTAAATCATCATCAACATCATATTGCACATTGCTGAGATTTCTGCTTTGTTTTTACAGGTATTGGCAGAAATATCTCCCACATTTTAAACTGTCATTTGTGTGGTGCTAGGGAATTTAGGCAAGTGGCAATGTTGTTTTCATCTAGCTAATGTCTTACCATTTTTTTTTCAGATACCAACAGTTAGCATCATGGCTTGAACTAGTACACACCATCCATTTCATGTTGAAATATTTTTTAAGATTGGTGAATCTGTAATTGCAACACAGAGAGCATTTTGTGCTCATTTCATGTTATGATGGAATGATGCTGCTACTAGGTAGAAAATTGATATTGCTGGAGGGCTGAAAATTTCAGGTCTGCAGGTTCAGTGCTTAAGATAAAACTACCTGGAACTTTTGAGTGATGGAAAACATTAGAAATTGTCTACAAAAGTATATGGGGAATAGCGGCTACCATTTGGAGGATGTCATTTTAAAAACCAAATGAATAAATACCGTAGACATTTATTTAAACAATAGTGAATGAATTTTTTTTTAATAGCAGTTACCTTGGTCTATTTGTCAACCTTTAAAATGTGTGAAGTATTTCAGCCACATTCTGTAATTGTCATTTCTGTAAATTATGACCTGTTCATTTTTCCATATTGTAGAAAATATGCTCAATACTCATAAATTTATAAAAAATGCAAAACTTAAATAAAAAATCTTATAAATTTATAAAAAAATTAATTTCCCAGCATCTCTTAAAACTTTTATAATCTTACAAAAGTAAACACTGTCAAAAAGTAGCAGTAGAAGTACATGTTGGCTTAAATTTTATTTTCTTCAATATAAAAAAAACCTTTTTTTTTATAAAAAATATGAAAATTTTGCAATACAGCATCATTTGATGAATGAATACTTGGACCATAGGAAAAATACTTGAATGGAAATAACAGGTGTTTAAAAACAATCTAAAGAAAATTTGGCTATTAACCCAGGAAAATATTTAATCATTGTATTTATTAAATATGTACCTGAACAAATTGATGTTTACAGAAATGCATAAATATCCAACATTAGAGATAGTTGTGTAGATATTTTGCCTTAAAAGAATATGGCAAAAAAATCCAGTTTTTCTATAAAACAATTAGTTACACTCTCATATTTAATATATAACATAGCACTTGAAAATATCTGAATTTGATGTCTTTCTCAGAAATATTAACCAATTTTAAAAATGTTAAATGAAATGAAATCTGATGAACCAGCATCCACGTTATCTGTTTCCTGAAAAAAATAAAATAAAAATCATATTTAACATTTTTATCATCATTTAAAAAATGCAATCACCTAAAAACCTTAAATCTTAAAAATTCAAAAAAACTCTTAAAGGAATTGTTTGGATAGATACTACAAATAGAAGAGAAAAATGATCTAAAGAAAAAAGCAAATTAACTTTTATGGCTTTATTGTTATTAAAATGTATGTGTCACTAAAATATATACTTATAATAAACTAATTTACTCAAACTGTTGCCTCCTCTTTGTTGTTACAGACAATATTTTAGCAGTTGTACCCTCTTAGCCTTTTTCAGATTGCCTGTTGTATTTGATAAACTTTCTCAGTATTTTGAACTGAATTCTTTCTTCGATTTACAAGAGTAGACTGTTTTTCAATCAAATATCTTGTATTAGTTAATTCCTCTGTTATTTCATCCTTATGCCAAAGTTTCTTGTTAACAGAACTTTCAGATGAAAGAAAAAAAATCTGTCTAATATAATCAAGGAACTAATCTTATATTAAAACCATAATAATTCCAATTAGTTCTGATCACTGGTTCCTACATGGTGAAAAAAATTATACAGTTTGATTATATATTTTGACAGACTCATGTATGCCTTTTGTTTTGTCTATTAAATATTTTGACTGAAGTGGTGGTAGTGAAGTGTTCCTCTTCTCTCCATACATTGTCTTCTATACTTGATTTTATTACTTTATTTAAATAATGCCTTTCTAAAGTTCTTAAAGTGTGTTGTGCAAGGTTTACCTCTTAGATTCTCTACTATAACTGCATTATATACAGTCTTTGATCATATTTTCATTTTACATGACAGTCTGGTTTATGTTTAGAGGTTGCATAATACAATTTTACAATGGTAAACTACAATGATATCATAGATTCTATGTATCTGTGTTTTCTTTTGTTGGATTGTCAGTACTAGCTCTCCTATTGGAATTTAAAATAATCAAGCACAGAATAAAAAAATGGATGCTGAATGACTAAATAAAGGCCCAATCACTATTCTCATAAGGGTCACATGACCCAGGCTATATAAGTACCAAAATTAAAAAATAAACAGTTTTTCTTCCATCACAAGCAGGCAATGCAACTCCTTTACCACAGACCCACTTAGTAGTATTAGAAAAGAGGCAGCAACCTCAAGAGAAATTACTACTACCCAAAGAAACTAGCCGAGGACTTAAAGAAACTTTTTCCTCAACCAAGATTGTTGACAAGATAGCATGACGCACTTCACCTGTCTGTAAATTGTCGGCAACTCTTTTCCTTATTTCTCTTTTTTCTATTTGTATATTAAATATATTTAAATAGTACAGGTAGTTGTGTTTCTTTCTCTTCAAAAGCTGTTACCCTGTTCATTTGAGAACTTGTGGACTTAGCACTTACTTTCCATAAATTTAGGATTGTATCTTGGATACAATTGCCATACCCATGTACCACTTTAATGTGAATGAAACCCAGTAGGAAAAAAATTAAAAACTATCAAACACCAAAAGTCTACAATCAGTTAACTAAAGTAGTATTTTTGGCAAAATAACTCTCCCACCCACCAAATATCAAAGCAATGTATAACTCAGAAATATCAGTATGAAGGAGATCAGCTCCCTTGGAATTAACCCCTTGTCCAGGTATTGCCTAATTATCATTGAAGAAAATGTTTACAACAAAGATAAAATCATAATCAGTACACAGAATGTCAGGAAACTGTACTGATGTAGAAAATTGGAAAATGTAAAACAGGAACTAGGCTGGATATCAAATGGGAAATGAAATGGAAAAACAAGAGGAGTCAGGTTAATATTAGATAAAGATGAGGAAATGTGTTGTAACAATTGCTAGTACCCCCATACTGGCAAGTGTTTCAACAGAGTTCATCTGATGGAACTGAAATGGAAGCCACTCAATATGGAAATCACAGTGGTCCATGCACTCAAGTCAGAAAGCACCAAAGGAAAAATAAATGTGTTTTATAATACACAAGATCTCAAATACACAGCAAACTATCTTTCTGCAGCTCACAGGGAACTATTTTCATGACTAATATTTTCCTCAAATTTTAATAAGTTTAATAAATTTGTTCCTCGCCTCTTCCATAATTTTGCTGTAGTAATATTGACCTACCCATCAAGTGCAAACAGACAGTTCTCAAGTCAGCATGGTTTATTCTAGTTCTTCTCCAAGGAAGAAAAGAAAATGACCTCCTCACCTTCGTGTATTCTTCAACTACCTGATGAGAGAGTACAAATGTACTTTTGTGACAATGTCTTGGTCACTTCTTTTTCAATTTTATAAGAGGAAATAAATTTAATTCATATTATGGAAAGCAGAAATAAGTATCCAATTTTTATATACATTCAAAAAAAAAACAATCTTGATAAGAAGAGTAGAGAAATGATTATGACTTGTTTCAGTGACTTATTGGAGGTGGAGAGGTGATTGAAATGGATACAACTAACTCAGATAAGAAGATATACAACGTATTATTTTTTTCATAAGGTGATAAATTTGGCTACTCACTGACGTGGGGTGTAGCTGAAATGACACATTTGGCTACTCACTGACGTGGGGTGTAGCTGAGGCTACACACACACACACACACAACAGAAATGAAGACTTTTTTCATTAGGTGAGAGGGAATAGATTTGATTTCATATTGGGTGTAGAATGGGGTACATGAAATGAAAATCAACTAACACAACAGAAAATCATCTTAGAAAGAGGTTTGAGGGAAGATTTTTAAATAAAATAAAATGAAATTTCAAGAAAGAAAGAGTTATTTTTAGTCAAATACATAAATGAAACAAAAAATGTCTATAATTTCAAAGGAAAATTTCAAGAAAAGTAGAGAATATTTGTATTTTATGGTAGAGGTAAAAGATAAAGTACAATGCTTGACATGTTTGCATAATTTAAGAATATAACAAATAGATATTTTGAAACAAAATAGGATCAGTATGATGAATTCCATGGAAAGATAAAAGATTGATTGATGTAAAACAGCTCTTTTGAAGTAACAGTCCTTTTTTTTTCAACTTAGACAAAGCAAGCAATAATGCTATAAGAGCAAGTTTTGTTCTCAGCAAAATGATTGGAAAATCATCACAGACCTTCAGTGAAGAAAATTTCATTAAAGACTTTCTTTTAAATGCTAGTAAAAGTCTCTGTCCCGAGAAAAGGAAAATATTTGAAAGCATCAGTTTGTCACCTAATACTGTTGCCAGTTGATACTATTTCCAAAGAATTTCACATGGAACTAGTAGAGCTTCAATTCAATACCATAATGAAGCAGAAATATGCAGAGGCTGGTGTGTTCCTGATTTTTACCAATTCTTGCAATGTGAAAGATTTCTAAAACTGCTTTCCCTATTTTTGCACATTATGGCCATGAAAGGAAGCATATATGTTTGTAAAGAATTACTGTTGACAATAACAATAAATAAAACTGCATTGTGCTTAAGACTAACTGATGAACATTTACATTCCATGTTGAGGTTGGTTAATTTAATGATTACTGGAAAATGTTGCCAAAAAGCATCTTCAACATGAACTGTTTGGGGCAAATCTGCTTAATTTCTGCATTCTGTAACAACACCAGATTGTTGTGAGTTGACCATTTCACATCATTTACACATTGGGCAAATGAGTGTTTTTGTGTTCCATTACTGGTGATTTATCAGTAATCATCAGTAATGGAACACAAAAACACTCAAAACTACAACACACTCATCCAATGAGTAAATGGTGTAAAGCTTGGAAAATTTGATACTCAAAGGATAGATTGAAGGCAAAGAAGGACAGAGGAAAACAATGCATAACCTACCTACCTAGTGGAACAAGGTGTAGGAGAGATAACAAAAAGGCATAATTTATTAAGAACTACAAAGTACAGGAAATTGTGGAGAGCCACGATCACCAATGTCCTGAAGGGATATAGCATAAAGAAGAATACCTAATGTTGGATGATATCTTGCAATGTATATTTACACCATTTTTTTAATTTGGGTATATTTTTGGAAAAGGTAGTGAAAACTACCACAGAAAATAACACGTTTATAGATATTTGTTAATTTTAGGTTAGTACTCATGTTTTGTGTAAGTTTGAAGTAATTATATGGATGGGAAATGTATTAAAATACAATTTTTTCAGGTGTATGGATATTTATTTTCCCTCCACTATATATACACTCCCGTGACATTAATCTATTTAATTAAAAATTTAGAACACGTTGAGAGTTATTTAATACTATGTCAGATGTCATCATCTCAGTCATGGGACATGTTAAAAATTAAAATGATTCTTTAAAAGAACGTCATGAAAGAAAAATATGCACTTTACCAAAGAATAATCAGGGAAAATAAGCTTGCAGATCTCCTTCATTATATCAGGATTCTCCACTGAAAAAAACAAAAAAACAAAAAACAAAATAAGATTATATTAGAGCTACAAAATTTAAGCAATGCTATAAAATTTTATTTTTTATAACTTTGATGTTTTTTTATAGCATTAATAAAACAATAATAATAAAAAGATTAAGCATTATTTGTGCTTAAAAATGTCAAATAAAAAAAGTAATGATTTAGTTAAAAACATTTAGCTGAAATTATATTAAATTTTCAAAACAATTTTTTGTAATCAAGCAATTTGAAAAATGCAAACAATTAAAATTGTGTTTTAAACTTACCACTTAATTTATCTCTTTAGAAGCACATTTCAGTATCTATTATACTAAAACTACAATAACTCTTTCTCTTAAAAAGATTGCAGAAATTAAAAAGTTAATGGAAATAGTAGATAGGAATATAAAAGAGTAGAAGTTCTTGATGTTGCCTGTGTTTATAAATAACCAAAATAAATACAATTATTTTGTTAGCCAGGACACCCACTAGTTAGGGTGAAAAAACAAAGGACATAAACATTCACTCTCTTTCTGCTCTGAGATGTAGTAACAACAACGCATAACTTGTCACTCTGTATGAATGTGCAAATATTTTCATTTTAGTAGATTGTATTATTGTAATTCTTTCTTAGTTTAGTAATAAACTATCTGCTTTTTCACATAACAAAAGACTTTCAGTTTCTTTTCTGGAAGTAGCTCAATGTAAAGATGTATAAGAATAAAAAGATATTTTACTGATTTGGTGCTGTCAATAAGGACTTGTATTATTTGGAATTATAATTATAGCTGTTCTACAATTCTTCTGAGTTTGTTTATTACAAGCATGATTGTTCTTTTTATATAAGTTTAAATTGGAAAACAATTCAGCTAAAGCAAGTTTAGGAATATTAATATTTGGTATTTGGAAAAGGAACTGCACAGGAGTTAAACAATACAATGTTAGATATATTGTCTATAACTTTAAGAAGTTATTAGCATTGCACATTTTGCTTGGACAGCTGAACCACTTCTCAGCATACTTGGTGTTGTTAGTATCATCTTTTTAACAATATAATCTTCAGTCTACATTAGGAGATGCACAAGAAAAGAAAAAAAACAGTATTGTTCTAGGAAACAATGGTCATGTTACAATTTTCACTTTGAGGATTAAAATATTCAAAATGATCCTTGAGAAAGACTCAAATTTAATTAAAGAAATTGTGTAAGAAAAACAATTCAAGCAAAAGATAGATTTTCTGCTCCAGTTGTTTCACATCATTTACTTATAATTGGAAAGATGAAAAAAATTTTATAAAGTGATTCCATATAAATTCATAGAAAAGCAGAAATTGCATTGTTCTGATGTGTGGGCATCACTATTCAAAGCAATAATCATTTATTTCTGAAAAGTCTTATTACTTGTATTGAAAAACATAATAATAATTAAAAATTATAAGGATCACAAATGTATATTTGGATTAAAAGAATGTGTGTGTGTATGTGTGTGTGTGTGTGTGTGTGTGTGTGTATATATATATATATAATTTTGTATTATTCCTGTTGAGAATTATTATAAAGTAAGACACTCTCTTTTCAATCTTTTTTCCCCACTGTTTGTGCGGGTGCGATTGTCGTCTAAATTACGCAAAAATGAAAATAACACATCTCATTTTAACAGATATATTTACCAAAATTACACAAAAATATCTTTAAATATTAAAGAGTAAATTTATTCAATAAAATTGCCATTGACTTCAACCATGGCCTTCAGATGACTTCAGAATCTTCTGAAACTCTTCTGGACAGTCTCCTTGTTTAAGTTGGTGAATGCTACCATAATCCTTGCCTTCAGTTCATCTTTGGTGGTACAAGGAGTTTTTTGGTCTTTCACTCAACTGCACCCAACACATAATAATCAAGCAGGGTGCAGTCTGGAGAGTTAGGTGGCCATATGTAAAGGGTGATGCGTTCACAGAAATTGACTGACAGTCATAACTGGGTTCTCCTGCTTGTGTAGCATGGTGCAGAGTCTTATTGCCAGATATAGGGTTTTCTGGCAGCCACTCTCTTGACCAGGACAGCACTACCTCCTTAAGACACTTTAAGCAGGCCTCACTGACAAATTCAGGAATTCTTTACTTATCAGAATGATCTGAGTAAGTTTTAAGAGCTGCCATAGCTTCATAATCGCCATAAGACTCATCTAACTCTTTCCGAATCTTCTGCACTGTCCTCAGATTGACACCCAAACACTCTGAAATGTTCATATTGGAGCTTCAAGTGTGAATGCCAAGCAGCACAGCATGCCATTTCCAAATTTATGCTGGAGTGAATTGCATCATGGTGCTCTTTTTCTCACAGACAGTGCCCAACTGACCCTAATATACTGTGCAGTCAACAAAATCAAAAATTAAAAATATAAAATTAAATAAATAAATTAAAAAAAAAAAAATTAAAAAATATAAAATGACAACAATTTACTCATCGCACCCTGTATATAATTTTGTGTATGACATAGCAGTATAAAACTCAGAGAACAAAACATGTTTGTCATTCCTTTTCTCTCAGCTATTCCATTCCATCCATGAAATAAGGCTTTATTACATCATGAATAATGCTCATAATGGGGGAAATGAAAATGGGAGAATATTCACTTTCTTCCATATCTCACCCATTATTATTATATATATTTTTAAATAAAATCTTTTAAATACTTTATTTAAACATCACTAATATAAGATGATTATATACAAATTTTGGTAGAGTTTGAATCACACAAACAGGTGTACATGTCACCTGATGAAAAGAAAACAGAAATGAATTCATAATTTTACCTAAGCTATCTTTCAATTTGCAGTCCACCATTTCCTTCAGTTCAATTTCTTGTTCAGTCAAGTGAACATCCAGTGCAATTTTAATGAGATTTAGCAATTCATCTTTATTTTCTTTACTCAGTTGAAGCTCTTTTGCTTGCTACAACAAAATTATGTTTAAAAGTAAATAAATCAAATATATCAATCATAATGGTAATCAAGTTAAGCTTTTGCTATTTCCTTTAAGTTACATGCCAACTACACTTAATTCATATACTATAAACATTTTCAATAAGACATCTACAAATATCATGGATAAAACAAAGTTAAGTAACATGAATGACAATCATCATTTGACAAGAGGAGATAGTTACTTGGATTCATTTTTTTTTAAATATCCTAAAGTGGACAATAATTTTTGACTAGTATTTAATTTCATGATCTGTGATGCATACTCACTGCTGTATTGGTAAAGTTGCAATAAATAGCAACTAAAATTAAAATGAAAGTAAATACAAGTCAAAAATTAATAATGGTTGACAATGCTGAACAAATAAAATACCAATTGTAAAGTGGTTATAAGAGTATTCAAAAATTGTAATTATTTTATGGAAATTGTAATTTTATTGAATAAGCATATAATCAAAATAAAAATTGTCAAAACTTGTTTTAAAAAAAAATTGAATAAAATACCCCAAACTGAAAGAGAAGTGCTAACATCTCAAAGATAAACTCTTCCTAGAACCATTACTTTTGTTTCTCCCGACATTAACAATATTTAAGGAACACATTTTCCAAATTCAAAATCTTTCCTTTTTTAAATTTTGGTCAGAGGAAGATCAAGAAGTAAAAAGAATCAATAAAAACCATTATGTACAGTGAATTTTATGGCAAATTCACTGTTACTTTTTTCACAAATAAGAAAACAGCATGAGAAAAATTACACAGCTTTCATTAATATATGTAAGAAGATTCCTTTATATATAATATAAAAAATAGTAAGTGGACAAAAAGTATTTTTTTTACATTAATTTTTATTAAGCAATATATTTACTATTTTGCTTGACTAACTTTTGCTATTTTTCAGGCATGTTTATAAATCCACTCTAACAGTCCTCCAAGGAATTGAAATTTTCATGGAGAATTCTATAAAGATCAGAATAAATAGTAATTAAAGTTATAATATCTGGCGAATATGAGAGATAAACAAAAATTTCACAAACTGTTACAATTTTTGTCAGTTCATCAAATAAACAGAGTCTAGAGTTATCCTGATAGAATATTATGTCATTTAACTAATTTTGGACAAATGCTTTTGATCACTTGCTGCCTTCAATTTGTCTAAATGGAAGCAATAGTTATTTGAATTGTTTGATTCTCTTAATAGTATAGGACATCCTTCCACTCCCAACATATAGCACAGTAAGATATTTGGATGAAGACCAGCATTAGTAGTTGTTCATTTCATTTGTCTCTTATATTCCACATTGTTGTAAAGCAAAATACAAAGCTCAAAACATCTACATAGTAATCTGTTCCACAAAGTAACAATTCTTGGGATAAAAAGCTGTCTGAGTGGAATTTTTTTTCTTGCAATTGGAATATGGAAGAAATGTGGGTGATTCAACTCCATGGACGTAGCATAGCAAGACAGAGATATAAAAGTCTAAACTGGTAGAACTAAAGAATGGAGCATATGTGAACATTTAAAATTGAAATAACAATAGAGTAGCAATAGGCTTGTGACATTTGTGGGAAATAGGCTGCAAAGTGAAAAAACTCATCTCTTACAAGACCATGTAAACAATTTTGAACTCTATCAAGGTTGGAAAGTGAGTATTGATCAGCTCCAGCCTAGATATAGCAGATATACTCTATTTTGGGTCTAATCCGATTCTTGTAAACATAATTGCATGGCAGAAAGAGTCACATACTTTCTGGAGTGGTAGAATGAGCCAATAATTTTTCTGGCATCTTTAACAAAGTATCATATGTATAAGTTCCACTTGAGGTCTGGAGTGCTTGAGTTTCAATAGACATTCAAAACATGTTACTTCATTGAATGTGCAACCATTTGTTGTAACTGGAGAATTCTCAGGGTCTGATCAGTGATGATGAAATGATACTATCATGGTTTTTGAGATAATGAAAGTTACAAGCCAGTTCTTTCCTCATTTTAGAGCTATGTCAGATGAAAGATCAGCTGCAAGGCTATGAACATATTGATTTTTAGAAGCACTTCCAACTGTGGTATCATCTCCATAGATGTTTACTAATGATGTTCAAGATGTTAATGATGTATGCAGATTAATAAAAATGCAGAAAATGGGTAGGACCAAAGAGAGAGATAGAGCCCTGGGGAATGCCTGCATTGATCTCATGGCTTCAGAGAATTGACTATTCAACAACATTCTGAGAAAAAGGACTTGATAATTGCATAGATTCTTCCAGAAAACCTGTGTAACAACCCACTATGTCACACTTTATCAAAAGCCTTTAAAATATATAAGTCTATGGTTCTCATGATGAAGCTACCATCAAGTGTTTCATTGATTCAATGTATAATGACATTTAAAACATCAGCAGTCAAATGGTCAAAGTTTTTGATGAATCTGCAAACTTTCCAAGTTGTGATAGTGATGTCACAAAGCTCGTGTTCCATGAGAAGGGGAAAGTCGGTAGAAGATGAACTCATTCATTTAGCATGGAGTTCATTGTAAAGAGCTTAGACTTGTCTGATGGAGATTAATTAACCTCAGAGTCATTATTAATAGTAAGCACAGATGACTTGCCTCTATTAAAAATCTTGTTAGTGATTTTCCAGAACACAGTCTTTCATTATCAATGTTAACCTTGACTGATTGTGTATTGCAGATCTTAGTATTTTCCAGAACTTTTTTTTAATAGTTGTGAGCAGTTCTGAATACAGCACAAGCCTTGCTACATTGTTTACAGTAATAAAGATGGTAGCAATGCTTACAAAGAGTTTTGACAACTGCTCATTCAGGTGTATACTAAGGCTGATTATTCAGCATTTGATGATACTTCTTGTAAGGGATAAAACTCAATACTAGGAAGAACCCACTCAGAAATAAGGGAAACTGTTCTGGATGCTTTATTCTTTAACAATGCTGTGGTAGTAGCTTTAACGAAAGATCTGAAGCTATCTTCTGCATTATATAACACTGATTATTATATCTTCATTTGTTTACTGTAATCCTCAAAGAGTCTTCTTAGCCAAAGAGAAATCTCAAACATGAAATTTCACAAACCACTTTTGATATGTTTGAACATTCACAGTACCTTTTTACCTTTCTTAAAACAAGAATAATATACTGAAAATGTTGAGTTTTTTGGAATCAAACAAAAATATCAGTTTTGACAATTTTTTTAAATGCATGATGTGAGACAAGATATAAATACTGGTAGTATACAGTATTTGAGGAAACATTAACCTATCTTCATATATAAGACCCAGGAGATATTTTTAAGCTGTATTTGGGGAAAAGATTGGGTCAAATACTAAATGTAGTTAATGCTGCCTACAGATGAATATAGAATAACCCTTTAGTCAACACAATATAATAATTATAATCAGAAATTAAGTAGTAAACTATTAATTATTGACTATTTCTAATTATTATTTTACTTACATTTAGTTTAAACAGAATAAACCAGAAAAAAAATAATTTAAAAAAACATATGCAAAAAAACATCTGTCTATATTTCTGAGATGAGGTATTGTAATTATTTACATTGTTCAGATTGTTGTCCTCATCTTCAGGCCATTGTACACTCCCGCCTTCTTCAAGTGACTGGAATTTTGAACTCAACACTTTATTTCATCCACTGAGGTAGAGGCATATCACATGGACCATTCTAGGTCCACGTGATATGCCTCTTTCGGATGTCTCAGTTATCTCCCTTTAACTTAACTCTCCAAAATTTTGTTCACCACTACAGTAGCCAGGTATTGAACTCACAACTCTTTGGGTCAGGTCAATGGATCCAACCAATTCTTATATCCACTGGACCATGTGTCCTTGAGGCAATAAATATGAGGACAACAATCCAAATTATGTAAATAATTACAATCCCCTCCCCCCCAAAAAAAACAACTGCAAATTTAAAACTATTCATTTGAAGATTTAAGTATAAAAGGCTAAGTCTGTATTTCTAATTTAATCTTTGTTATCTCATCTTTATCTTCTGTCTAATTATTTGTTTTAATAAAACCTCATCATCCTATCTATTCATTCTCAGATTACTTTCTGACCTTAATTAACAATTGTAGAGAGTTTTCTATTTTAATGATTTCACATCTTTCAAATGTTTTAATTTGAATAAAAAGAGAAATTACTAATGAAATATACAATTAAATCTTACCTTGACTATTTCTAAGCTTTTATTGTACATACATATTAAAATTTTCATTACTTGATCAAAATAAATAATAAAGTAAAAATCAAACTTGGAAAAAAAAATCAAATGGTATTTGAATTTTTTTTTTTTTTTGATAAATGACCAAAGATTGAAAGATAAGAAAAAATCCTTTTTGGTGTCAATAAAAAGAAAATTTTGAAAATAAAGAAATAAAATGTACCTCTTGTAATTTTACCTCCCAGTTTTTTTGGAGATCTGTAGCATTTTGAAACTTTTCAGTTACATACACAGAAGTAAACACACGGATAATTTGATGGATGTCATTTGTAATAGTTGCTTTTTTATCCAGCTTTTTGGCTCTACCAAAATCCAATACACGAACCTTCAGTTCACTACTAGGTTTTGCTTGAAGCATTGCATTGTTTTCTGTAAATAATAAAAGATAAGATATTGGCTGTTTTGAAATTAGGAAATGAGGCGAATAAAGAAAACAGTAACCAGTGAGTAAATTCAAACTCTCCCAGCTGGTATTTCAACCTTGAGTCGTTCCTTCTTGAGTTGTCTCCAAATCACACTAACTGCCCGTTCTTGCTGTCAATCGTGAACGTCCCTCGAAGAACTAATATTTATTTGTATTAAAAATACAAAATGTGGCACATGGCCAAAGAGGGGGATGGGGAATGACGGTCTTCTTCTGTCTTTAATCTAAAACTTAGCTAGTCACAGACACTGACCCAAACATGCCAACAATAATCCAATCACCAAAACATCACATTCACTCCTACCTTTCTTACTACGTCCACCATAATACCTCACTTTCTCTATGACGTCCTAAATAGTCCCCTTATATACAAATATTGTTCATGGGGGGAGGGTCATAAAAATAACAACTTTTAAAATCCCCAAATGAATATTTACAAAATGAAATAATTATTTACAATAAACTAAACAAAACTGAGTTAGTAATAAAACCCCCCATAAACTATGAATGTGGCAGAAATATCAGTTAACCGGACGAAATCGATGCGGGACTAAAAAAAATGAGTACACATTCAAACCATCAAGCATTCACACAAACACTCACTCATTCATACACAACAACAAATACGAAAACACACACCCGAAACGAAAGGCGTCCCGCATCCACCAGAAAACTGACATCACTAACCACCTAACGAGGGAGGGGATGGGGAATTAAACAAAAGTAAAAATAGGGACAGAAATAAAAGGGACCAATGAGCTTACATACCCTAGCTAAGTTAAACGGGAAAAAAAAATAGGAAAACTAAATATTCAACAACAAAAACCTAGTCTAGCCTAATATCGGGGTGGGTTGTCTCTGTTCAACCCTGTTAGGACAATATTCTGTGCCTAACCGACATCTAAATGCCACTCTAGGTCAGCCCCTTTCACTCTACACATTCGCAAGATTCACCCACCTTTTGCGAATTCTGATGATGGGGACCCGCCTTTCCATCCTAATCTTGACTTTAAGCTGATGCCTAAAGTACAAGATCAGTTGGGGAAGGTGAACTTCTCGCCTTCATAGAATCCCTTCTGTCGCGTCGTCCAAATCACGACTCGCATAACCCCTAGTAAGCAACAGAACACATAGTGTTCAGCCTTAAATCATTGCGATACCACATTGCTACAAACAGAACTGGCTTCCAGGACAAAAACTTTCCCTGCAGCATGCGAACCATGAGGCCTTCAACAAACTTGCTGCAACGGCACTACCGCCTTGCACTGAAAAAAGGCGTGACCAACGGTCTCGACATTCCCAGTACAGCGACGACAGTTTGGATATTTCTCCAAGCCTGCTGAACAAAGTCTTTTGCCGACCCAGAGGGCCCCGCGAATCATCAGCCAGGTGGTGATGCCTCATCGTTATTGAGACATTTCAACCCAGGCGCCCAAAGGCCATATCGAGCGAGCCTCCTGCCCCGTAAAACGAGCTCGTCGATCAGACCATCTTGAACGGACCCCTAACTAACACTCGATATAATGCCTTACGAGACAACGCTTGGGCGTCGGGGAGAGGCCATCCGGCGTCCGCAAGAGGGCTTCAAAGCACGACGACATTCACGGTAGAAGGAGCACTCGCCACGGGGAATACGACCGGCCTCCTCCTCGCGAGTGCACACTTCTCAGGGATGGGAAATGTTCTGGACATCTTCTTTCCAAAAAGGTGCCCACCTCATCCAAACCCGCGACACATTCGGTCTAGAAAGGTAATCGTAGCATATATTGACGAATCTCAATGCTAGGCATCCCCAGACCGCCCTCAGAAGGATGAAGGCAACAGATCTCGCGACATACCATATGGGCCTTGCCTCTCCACAAGAAAGAGAACAAGGCCTTGACTAATGATATTAGTCGGGCATACGGGAGTGGAAGCACAGAAAGTCGGTAGAGGAGGATCGGATAGATGTGAACCACAAACTTCCGCCCTTCCCTTCAGGGAAAGTCTCCCCGAGACCACAGACTAGCTGCGGCCTCGGCCCGCCCCTTGTACCTCCGACCAATTCTTTTCCAACTGGAGATCAGGACCGAACCAGATGCGAGTATCTTGATCGCCCATCCGTCCAGAGGAAAGGTCCGGAAGAAACTCCCTTCCACGCACCCAACCGCAAGCCCACAGACTTATCGCGGTTGATTTTGGCCCCTGTCACCATCTCATACCCACTGATCTGCTTACTGACTTCGTTAATCTCGGCTCTGCTCGACACAAGAACCGAAACGTCGTCAGCATAGGCAGAATACCTGGCGAGGTGGAAGCACCAGGCAGGGAAATACCGCGCAGGACCGGATTCGCCTTTAACTTGCGCGAAGGAAAGGCTCCAACGCAAGAACGTAAAGCAGAGGCGATAGCGGACAACCTTTGACGAATGGAGCGAGACAATACGAAAGGCTTCGATCTTACCCCATTCACTTCCACCAGCGCACCGGGGTCGCATACAAGAGTCGGATCCAGGAGCGAAAAAGTCGGCTCCGAAACCGGCCGCCGAAAGGACAGCCTCCAGAAATCGATGGTCAACCCTATCGAAGGCCTTGGACTGATCTAAATTGATCAGCGCGGCTTCACTGTCGACTTGTTCTAAGATCAAGCGTACCATATGAAGGTTATCCTGAATAGTCCTGCCCTTCACAGCACAAGTCTGTTCGGGGCCAATCAGACTAGACAGGACAAGCTGCAAACGGTTGGCTAAGATCTTCGCCAAAATCTTTAAGTCAGTGTTTAACATCGTTAAAGGGCGAAAGTTCCCTAACCCATCCCCACCGTCCTTGTCCTTACGCAGCAACTTGATGACACCCCTGGTGAAGCGTTGAGGTAAAGACCCTGCCTCATCCAGTGGTTGTACATCAGTTCCAGCAAAGGAACAAAAACGTGCGACAACCTCAAGTAAACTTCGTCGGGAAGACCATCTAATCCGGAGACTTATCCAGGCCAACCTGCTTCAGCGCTTCCCAGATTTCCGACCCTGTTATGGGACCCTCGCACCTAGCCACTTCAGCTGCCGAGAGGCAGGAAAGTCAGCTAAATAGGCGTCGAACTGAGCAGAGCTCAGACCGGGCTCCCTGGTGAAAAGCTCCTGAAAGTAATCTCGAAAGACCTCACATATGCCCGCGTTTGTAGTCACGGTCCTCTTATCCGGTAATGTGACGAACTATATATGTCGCCTGATGCGTTCAGATTTTCCTCTACACGCAGTTCAGCGGCCATATTCATTGCCTCAGAAGACATTCTTTTAACCTAGCCTAACTACCAGAGCTTGATCCTTCTTGATAAGCAAGGAGGCCAACTCTGCCTTAGCTAAGACTATGTCCCCACTAACACGGGATTTCACGGCCCGATCAACTCTTTTCTTCTAAAGCCGTTTGCGCCGCTAATTTATCTAAATTGAGTCGACGACTAAAATCGGCAGCAAACGTTCAAATTTTAGATTTTAAATTGCCCCACCAGGCATTTCCCACAACCGCCCCGTCAATTCCCTCTGGATCGTTAGTAGCAGCTGGTCCCGAAACCCTGATCACCAAAAAATGAACAGTTCAATTTCCAGTAACCAGCCAACCTAACCTTAGGTTTATCTAAGTTTACACGGACCCGGACAAGCCTATGATCCGTATAAACTATATAATGGAAACTTGGACACCCTAAGAGCCCTACATCGACTCTCCTAACTAAGACTCGGTCCAGGTAGCTCGCAAGCGAGCCAGGAGCCGAGCTGCCACTATTTGTCCAAGTCCATACTACCTCGTGGGTGTTCATTCGGAACTTATCGACAAGATCAAACCCATCGATAAAGTCCCGAAATGGTTTCACATCAGGGTTTTAGTACCTTTTTGTGCCCTATACGATCTATATCGGGGTCAAGGACGGCATTCCAATCCCCGCTAAAACTACCCGACGAGGCGTCATCAAAAACGGCCTGATCTGCCGAAACAAAGCAGGACGCTCGGAATGGATATTAGGCACATAAACCCCAATGAGACGAAGAAGCCTTATCCTTTATGGTAACATCCAGCATGCAAAGCCTGCCCGCCGGATCCGCGAAGACAAGGGTACATGCAGCCTTCAAAGACCTGCTCACTAGCCAAGAGACACCCCTCGAACAACCATCAAAACAAGCTGAATAAAGGGCGAACCCCTAGACAGTATGTCCTCATGATCATGAGAAGAAAACCGGGTCTCTTGCATCCAACAATATATATTCACCCCGAGGCGCTGAAGGTCACGAGAGAGCCTCGCCTGCGAGAACTCGGACCTCAGGCCCCGGGCATTCAAACTAGCAACCAGAGAGCCATTGAGAAGTCCGATTAGGGTTGCCCTTCAGGATAGAACATGGCTGGGGTGAGGACACCCACAGCTTGTCCCATTGAGCCAGACACCATCTCAGTATTGATGCGTGTCATCCTGGGACAAGCCGCCGATATCCCAGGATAGGTTAATTTAAGGGCTCTATATAGGGATGGTGAACATAAACAGGGACCCTCCCTTTACAATTTTGTTTTCATAGAAATTTTCCTCAAGAAGGACGACAGCTGGGGCACCACTTTCAAGGATGATTTTGCCTCCTCTACCATGCCCCAGATCTCTTAGCGTACCAGGCCAGTTCTTATGACGTAAGTTGGTTTTTTGCCTTGTGGAAATTTTCCGGCACCTCCACATCCACACCCTTGATGTGCGGAAATTCCAACAAGACTTTCAAGTCCTTCGGGTTCTTCGTTTGACCGAAGACCCTTTTTCCGCCTGCTCCGGGATACGTGACAGACGTCTTCCCTGTGAGATATGGTGCTTTTGATTTTTTTTTTTTTTTCTGTGACAATTTGTGAATCTGGGCTCCTTACCCTTTTTTTTTTGGAGACTGGATAGGAATTGAGATGGGTGTGATGTTTGGGTAGTAGAGGTGTCATGCCCAGGGAAG